ATTTGCGGTCAGTTCTTCAAGCATCAACTTCTGTCAAAACAAAACCAAATTGTAGTTTAGATTCCAACAGAATTGGAATTCATGATTCCATTCCAACAGAATTGGAATTCATGATTCTTTTTATCTTCTTCATGGCAATCTCAAGAATTGTACCACACGTTTATGTTTTCTTTCCCTTAGATCACAATGTACTCCATATCTATCAAAATTCACAACTATACAATAAGATCATCAAGATAATTGATTTTTTTTATCTATTTAACTTGTAAAACCCAATCAAAAGAAACATACACAATCAAAGAAGAGATCATCACCATTGTTCTTCCTACTCTTTTCTGTCAAATGAAGCAACCAAAGTCTCCTTTGTTTTCCTGCCAAAGAACACCACTAGAGATGGGTAAAATTCCCAGTAATCAAGAGAGCAACAACCCTCTCTTGGTCATCCTTGCTCATCACCGATTCCACAAGCAAAATCCACTGATTTCTTGCTTCCATTACCATTAAAATTAAAACAAAAAAAGATGAAGAACGAAGAGGCTGCAGAAACTGCCCCCTGCTCACCTGTTTAACTGCAACTCCCCCTTCCCCTTTCTGTTTCAATGGTCAATAGCCCCAATTTCATGTTCTCTTCCTTGTAAAAACAACAAACCCAAACACCCATCTTTTCCCTCTATTGATTTCTGTCTAAAACTAGCAAAAATAAAACAGAAACAAACCTCAAAAAAGCAGACGGAAATACCGACTGCGACCACCCTAGAAGACCCACTGCCGCCCTACAACTCCCATCTGCACCGCAGCTTCGTTGCTTCTTCCTTTGGTCTAGCCAAACCCCATAGGTCCTCCCTTTTTCCCATCGTTTTCTTCTTTCTCTGCTGTTCCCATCGACCACAAAGCCCAGAGTCCACTGCAAATTGTTCACCTGCTCTAATATCATCACAACACAATCAAACAATTAAACAAAATTAGCTTCAACAGGATAGCATCGATCCTGCTCAAATCCAAAATTTTATATACAAACAAAATCTAGACATTTAGGACTCTGATAGTAATCAACTAGTTGAATGTAGATGTAACCTGAAAACGGCGATTGATGTAAGTGTTGATGATCCAACATCGTTTTTTCCTTCTTCACTTCTAAAATCCAATCGACACATCCCAAAATCGCACCTTCTCTTATTCGCGCCTCCTCCCTCCGGTCGACAGAAGTGAAAACGAGCCAGATTGACGTGAAAATCGAGTAAAGATAGGGGAGAGGCGAGTATGCTTCATTAATCGACGAAGATTGAGCCACTGCCATTGATTTTCATCAGAAACTATAGATGGTATTAGGCGGAAGAAGCAGTGGCGAGGAGGACGATTAATTGGTGATGGAGACAATGAGGAAAGTGACCTGCGACGCAGAGAGGAAGAAAGAGGCGGATTTAGGATTTAGTTCACCGGTGTGATCCTATTACGGTGGAGGTGGATTTTAATAGGGTTAATAATAAATAGATCCCTAAAATAAAGGGACTATTTATAGAATTCATTTATCAAATTACTAAATAACCCTCACTGATTTATTTAATTATTTATTTTTATTTTAAATTTTGATTGGCCCACAATGATGGATACAATAACACAATACTTAGTTAAAACACATGAACCTAGCTCTATATATATATATATATATATATATATATATATATATATATATATATATATATATATATATATATATATATATATCTTCAAGGAAGCATAAAAACGTTTCATACAAAAAGACCGAATCGGAGAAATCTGAAAAATAAGATCTATGAGAAATCAAAAGTGAAATTAATGGGAAGATGCTTACCAGTTTAGGTTCTTGTTCATTTGATGATGTAATAGCAAAATGAGTTTATAAAAGTTACTCTACAAACCACTAGTGAAAGTGTTGGTGACAACATTGATTTTCGAAGGTAGTGTCTAACGAAGGAGATGGTGACATCGTACATCGATAAAGGTGGGGAAGGGGGAAAATGATGGTGACGGAGACATATGGTCGTTCGTGGTATCTAGGTATAGATTTTAAGAGAGAAAGTTTCATGAGAACGGATTTAGGATTAAGTGGTGATGCCTGGTGGTGATGGTGGAGCCACTTTAGGGTTAGGAATTCCGGTAAACGATGTGTGACGGTGGCATTGATCGTGGCGTTGAGATAGACTTAGGACTTCTCATTTCGACTTAAGGTAGAAGCGCGGTGGTAGAGCGGCGTCGGTGGAGGTAACGATGGCATCAAGAGGGTGGAGGTAGCGACAACATCAGGAGGCTGGTGGTTACGGAGGCCTGCCGGAGATTGAAGAGGGTTAGGAAGGAGACGGAAAAAATTTAGGAGAAACGACGGCTAAAGATGTGTATAGGAGTTTAGGATTTTCCACATAAATAGTTACAAATCAGATGTACGTGTATACATTTGCACTACAAGCTTAATAAGATTGTACATGGTGTTATAATAGTTGTACCTCTTAATTTTCAAGAAATATATAATATGCTTTATATAGTAGTAAAGGTATATAGGAATACTTTCTATTCAAAACAATTACTATGATAAAGCATGCATCACACATGTTAAGGTTGAATCCACATTACTAGAGGCATCTTGCTCCTCGTCAGTGTTGTAAAACTCGCCGAGTTGGCCGATTACTCCTCTGAGCACTCGCTACTCGGCCCCTTACCGAGGTGAGTTACAGAATCCCAAGTACTCCCCGATCACCCCTTACTAAACTGAGCAGTGTTGTAAAACCCGGTTAAATCAGCGATTAATATGTATAATATACGTAACGATTTAATATTTAACACACACACATGTGATCATTACTATAAATATATCTTAAATTTTCAATAATTATTCACGAAGTGACCATTATGTGTTTTTCAGTTTTTGTGTATTCACATGTATCTAATTTTGTTATATATTTCAATCAAATTAAGATTTTAACTTATGATTTTAACATATATAAGTTCCCTAAAAATATTTCTACATGAATTACCGAATCCGAGTACTCATGAGTACTCGCTACTCGATAGTCGGCCGAACAGGTACCGAGTAACGAGTTCTACAACCTTGCTCCTCGTACATGAAAACTGGCATTGATCTACTTTATTGGTACACACTTAATCATTGCATACGATCTTAATAAATACACATTGGTTTCCGACGATGTTATCACTATGTACCTTTTCTTCGTATGTTGTTTATATCTTGGGTTTGACAATCAAATTGCTATACAGATTGCTCACAAGAATGTTTTTCAACTAACATACAAAACATTATGAGATTCAATGTCACTTTGCTCGTGAACATGTGTTTTAAAAAAACCCACTTAACAGTATGTGTGCCATATTTGTGAATGTACGTTGTTTGTGTATTGATATTGAATTTAGACATATTTTTGGAGCAATTTTCATGTCTTTTTAATTATTTTTTGGATTTTTATATTGGAAATATATAAAAATTTACATCACTTGTCAAATTTACATTTGTTTCTAAAACTTGAAATCCTAAAATCATTTCAATTTTTGCAAGTTTCCACAATTCAATACAATCGTGTCTAAGGGAAGTACGACTCACATGTCAATATCGCGGTTAGAGAGTATCTTGTATGAGTGAAGTCAATCGCTTATTGTTGAAGTGGTCAAAATACATGCATTTTTTAATCACGAACTTCGTCATCCTATCCCGAACTTTAGCCGCTTCCTAATTCCACAATGTAGTATCTTTCGTCATTATTGTTTGATTATGTCGCGGGCCAAATTTCACCGATGGGTATCTCTTGTTCATATGAGTTTTCAGTGTTTCTCTTCTTCCTTGCAAAAGGCACCACATTTCTTGTATCGCACTTTATTTGGACCGCTCGAAATTATATACAAATCATAATTTTCCCAAATCTCCATATTTCTCTTTGGTTTTTTGATGCCAACAATGGTAATATTGCTTGATGAATCTCCAACACAAACGAAAGCTGAGTCCATTGCTTGACTTGAGAGCATTTGTTGATCTAATAGAGTTTTTTAGTGGTTTGGTTAAGTCTCAACATCTAATACCTATATATACTATCAAGGAATGGTAAATATGGAAAAAAGGGACCAAAATTCGATCCGCTTACAGCCTCAAATAGCTATATAGCCAGTAGAATAGGACAAAAAATCGGTAACAAAGTCTCCTGGAAAAACCGGTTTTAAACCGGTTCCGACGAAACCGGTTCTAAACTAGTAGTAACAGTAATATTTTCGAATTGGTTTAAACCGGCAGTTCGGTTCGTGCATCGGTTTGGTTCATATTGGACCGGTTGATGGTGAACCGGTTTTCGATTTGTATGGGCTCGTGAACCGGTTTTTTTGTGCAAGTCTAATTACAGGGGTGAAATAAACATTATCAGGGAACTTCAGTTTATTATATGTATTGATAAGGGTTGTAACTTGTAAGCATAAAGTGTATCAAACTTCGTCATGTCACACCTACGAAACATCGAAGATTATATGCATAAAGCGTCCAAAGTTTTACTGTTTATTATGCGTATTTATATATTGGATATATACGTTTACAATCGTACTTCATAAATCTTGAAGCATGCTTAGTTCCAGGACCAAACAAGAACGAAAAAAAATGGAAGAACATATATGAACATATGTTTCTTACATCCATCCAATTATTACAATTATTATATCAATCACTTGAAATATATATTTCAAATGTTACTTACTTACTCATGCACTCGAAAGTTATAGTTCATATGAGTGCGAATTATTTCATATAGTATGCAACTTCAGTAAGGTTTCTCTCCAACATAGTTGTCGGGTGGATCATAGTTGCATGTCACGAACCATGCACCATTATTGCATTGAACCCTTGCACAACCAAGACGAACCGAATTACGCCAAACAAACAACTTGAGTATAATGCCCACACATCTTTTCCGGAGCACAAGTGTTCGAATTATAATCATAATCGGCATGTTCTCCAATCCACAAGTTCATAGCATCTACACCAGTGAAGTCATAGCAAGATTCTCACCGTAAGGACTGTTTTGGGAGTGCACCAACTGACAGTCACCACGTCTTTGATTGGCATAATTTTCTGCGAAACCAGCCACATTACTATCCCAAGTCATGGGCCCCACACCAACCTGAGCTCGAGCCTGATTATGAGCATCAACAAAGTCTTGTGGCGAGTTTTGGGCTAGGGAAAAATTAAGAATTCCCATGAATATAGCAAGAAGAAATAATGCGTTATTCCAAGGGCCCATTTTTTTTATTTTGTTTAGTGGCACAAAAAGGATGCTTCAAGTCGTTTTGGCGACTTATTCCATTAAAATTTCTTCAGTCGTTTTGGCGACTTATTCCATTATTTTTTCCAGACAATGTGGAAAATTCTTTGGATGCAAAATGAAAAATATATCATAAATATTTGAATATATTATAGTTTAAGTCCATATGGTTTGGTTATATTCTCGCCTTTGGTCCAACCTTTACAATACTGATAATCCTATCATTGTGGTATGAGAAAATTATAGTGTTGGTCCTAATGCATATAAAAAAAAGACTATTATACCCTTTTTAACTTTTTTTATATATACCTATTTATAATTTTTAGTAATAAAATTATTAAATAAGGATATACCTCCCCATACCCACCCACCCCTGTCGGCTACATCTCCAAACCACCGCCTCCATCCATTCCGCATATGTCACTACTCAAACCACCGTCTCCGTTCACAAATGACCCAAAACTAGAAACTTCCTCGTCGATCTGAATCTAGAGACCTATTGCTTCTCCGTTCACAAAATCTCTTTCTATAAGTTGTTGTCGAATTTCATTCTTTTTCCTATAAACCATACAAAATAACATATATTCATGGGTGACTCTCCTTCTCCTCCGCGTGTGACACTCTTGTTCGCCATCATTGTTTCACTCTCCAAAATGATCAACATCTTCTCTCACCTATATGGAATTGGTGACGTTTACACCCCCTCATCTAGGCCACCACAATATTCTTCCTTAATCTCGATGTCTGTTTCGGCTCATCAGCCTCCTCCATTTGAGTAAACTCTATGGTGTGCGTTTGATTTCATTACATTTGTTACTACCCTTCATCAATAACACAATTAAATGTGATGTATTCATGTAGACATCTCATCGAACAGTTTGTAGTCGTTGTCATTTAGTATGTAATTTTTAATGATTGTATACTAGTTGCAATGGACTGCGGGAAAGAATTTTAGAATTGGAAATTCACCGAAACCGTCACTAGGACCTATTGCATCTCTTATGGATTAGCAATCACTATAGTAAGTAATCGCAACTATCTTCTCTAGTTTTGGACATATTATGTATAGCGCAATAATCTTCCGTTAGGATTGATTAAAAGCCAACAAAAAAGTTAGTCACCAATTCACAAAACTTGTCACTGATACCAAATTTTGAACACAAAAGTCATTAAAATATACTTCTTTTTCAAGGAATTAAGTTTGGTTGGGTACCATGAGAACATGAACATATCTTTATCTATTAACTTTGATAGGTTCCTTTTGACGATTGTTTCAATGGAAAACCTTGTTACCGTGAGAACATTAAAACATCGACATTCGATTTTTTGCAATACCAATAGGTTTTTTTTCTCAAACAATCTACTACATAAGAAGGAGGTGGGGTGGGGTTGGTGGGATGTAAGATGGGTTGAGATGAGCCCATAATCTATAATTTGTTTTATACTCTTTAATTATAAATTATAAATTATTGAAAAAAAATATATTTTAGTCTTTTTATATGGACCAAGGACAATTAATTTAGTTTTCAAAATCCACAAGGATATAACCCATCAATTTTTTCGACGATTGACCAAAACTAAAAATGTGACCAAAACTAAAAAATTAACTATATCATAGGGACCATTTCTGTAATTCATAACAATACTTGATTATAACTTTTTGGTCTTTTTGTTGTGTAATATTTTCCAATCGTTTTGGTGACTTATTTGTTCCCAAACTTCGGAAATTTTTATGGATGCAAACAAAGAATCCATCATATGAATTTTCATACCACACATCCTTTCATAACGGCAATTGATTATAACTTTTTTGTCGTTTTGCTACTAATTTTTTCCACAATATGGAAATTCTTGGAGATACAAAAAATGAAGAATATATCATATGAATCTTTGTATGACGCACCCTTCTAGACCGGTCATATATATAGATAGAGATATATATATAGAGATATATATATATATATATATATAGATATATATATATATCTATATATATATATATAATATACTAGGTTATAACCCGTGGGCACCACGGATTAGAAATTAATTCTTTTAATTAAATTATACTTATTTATTTAAAATAAATATTAATAATTGATAATAATTAATGTAATGATTAGTTAATATGTTTTGCAATAATAAGATAACGACATAACTAATCGTTAAAAATGCGAACCGGTAGTGGTTTGAATATGCAATTGGCATTTTGTATTTGTAGATATGCAAAAAAATTATAATTTTATGAAATGAAATATAAATTTAACAAAAAACAAATAACGAAATTTATATTAATAATAAAATTGTACAAATTTTTTTACAAATTTCTAAAAACTTCTTTATACACAACATTAGAAGTTTTATTTGTTAGTCTACCATCTTTATCTAAAATCAATAATTTTAATCCTTCTCTACTTTGAACTCTGGATAAAGCAACATACAATTGACCATGTGTGAAAACAAGCTCTTTGAGGAACAAACCAACCTTCGATAGAGATTGTCCTTGGCTCTTATTAATTGTCATTGCAAAACACACAGCTAATGGAAATTGTCTTCTTTGGAATTTGAACGGGATCTTGTCTTCAGAAGGAGTTAAAGACATTCTTGGAATAAAAGTCCAGTTTTCAACATTACTTCCAGATAAGATAACTGCCTCAATAACACGTTTGCCCAAAGATTTAACCTGTAGTCTAGTCCCATTACATAAGCCATTTTTCTGATCAATGTTTCTCAATAACATAACTGGGACACCGACTTTTAAAATGAGCTTATGGTTTGGAAGACCTGAGACTTTAAGACCATTTAAAACATCACGTGAGTATAAATTTGCATCAAACTCATCATGGACAAACTCGGATCGGCATAGACTATCTGAACTTAAGTATTCTTTTTTTTTCCCCTGGAAACAATGACAGCAAACGATCGTTTATTTCTTGGACAACTTCATTCTTGGGAGCTAGTATTGTTCTTTCTTGAAAATAATCAGCAATGTTGAAGTTTTCCAGTATAGAAGGATATACAAAACTGATTAATGAACCTATAGGATCATGTGGATTAGTAATAACAATATCCCGTGGAATATCAACAATTGCTTCACCGTCATTCGGACCACCAAGATTACCTTCTCCTATGTCCAAAAGCCAACCTGCAAAATCCCTTATTTGTTCAATAGCAGACAGATCGCTTCCAACAGTTAACCTCATGTTTTTTGTTAATTTATGAACTTTGCATTGTTGCCATAAATAAGAAGAACTTAAAGAAGCATTAACAATGTTTTGTCTACTGCCACCTGGAACAACAGGTAGAATTTGTCTGAAATCACCTCCAAAAACAATCACTTTCCCTCCAAATGGAATATTCGAATTCGCAGGATTGACACACTTTAATATATCCTTCAGAGTTCGATCTAAAGCTTCGAATGCATGTTTGTGTACCATGGGTGCTTCATCCCAAATGATCAATGAGGTTTTTCTTACTAAACTGGCAAGATCACTTTTTGGATCTATTGAACAAAAAGAATCCTCATTAATATTTATGGGAATTATAAACCGAGAGTGTGTTGTCCTGCCTCCAGTCAATAATAATGAAGCTATCCCACTTGAAGCAACATTTAAAACAATCTGACCTTGAGCTCTAATTACTGCAGAAATTGTCTTCCAAAGAAATGTCTTACCTGTTCCACCATAACCATAAACAAAGAATACACCTCCCTTATTATGTTTAACTGCGTCCATGATATCGACAAAAATGTGTCGTTGCTCATTTGTTAATGCAACAAACAGCTGATCGAACTCGTTCTTTAAATTTGGTATGTCATAATCTAGCTCCTCGGTAATAAGACGATTGTTTGAAGATGAAACAGAATCAGCATCTGGGTAAGGCATCTTTCCATAATTTTTAAGGGTGGAATTGTTACGGAGTAAAATTTGTTCTATCTCAAACAAAGTCAAGTTTTTAAGTTGATCTGCGTTTAGTAATAAACCTATACGTAAAATAATATATTAGTTAGAACATATAAAAAAACAAAATTGATTAAAAAGTAAAATATAATCGGATTTATACTAAAATTTCATATGATAGTATTTTAATAATAATGAGAAAATTTTAGATTACCAAGAGACTTTAATCTCTGTTGTTGATTGTAAAGAATTCCATCTGACAGGTATTCCCAGGTGTTTTGCCAAACAATCTCTGGTTTACACAAACTGTTGGACAATAGCATCGTAGCAAATAAGAACCGCAGATAAAAACCAGATCCAGAAAGACTTGCTTCCTTAATTGCATCGATAAATTCTTTGTCATCATCTAAAAGGCCAAGATTATAACACGCATCTTTAAAAGAAGAACATAGTTCACCATTGACTGTGCGAATTTCTTCGAATGATTTAGGACCTTTCACTTTATTTAAAAGAATTCTTAAGAAATATGCTTCTCCAAGTTTAGGAGAAACCGAGTGAATTCTACCAATCGCATATCCAATTTCCCTTGGCTTCCAAATCAGATCTTTACGTTTCCAAACAAATTTTGTAGGAAATTCAACATATGTAAGTTTCCGTGCTTCTTTATTGATTGCATTACACTTCATCCAAGATGTGAACATTGAAGAAGCAATTGAAGGGCGATCAAGAACATCTTCAATGTCATCGTCTGCCTCATATACAACTTGTTGTTGATCAGGAAGATGAAAAGGTAGTCTAATCACAGCAGGATGCCTATAATGAACATCGTATTTAAAAATCCGCCATGATGCTTCACATGCAGAAATATATCTACAATCATAGTATTCTTTAATTTCATCCACTGCATCGTTGTTATCGGAATCATTATTGGTCGGCTCCATAGAAATGGTAGCTCTATCAGGACCCTTGTTTATATATTTAAACAAATACTTTATGGAAGATCCTTGATTGCACCATTAAACATTAATGTGTGCCTGATATCTTTTCAACAGATATTTGTTGTATGGAACAACATTTCTGTTATCTAACTGAACACCAGATTTTTCAACAAAATGCCCATCATCTCTTCTCCTATATAAGGGAAAACCATTTGAATCAACTGAAGTATGATTACAAAATTGCTTTGGAAAGTTTTTAGAACACTTTCTGTCAAGCATGCATGGGCAATTCAAATTTTCAGCTCCACATGGACTGTGAATCATGAACTCCTTGACAAGTGAATACAATTCTGGATCATCATCGATATTTGGAATCTCAGCAGAAACAATGGGATCGATATATTCAACTGTAGGAAGCTTGCAGTCAGCATGCATAAATAGACATATATGACTATGAGGCAAACCTCTTTTTTGAAATTCAATTGTATAAACCACTGCATGCAAAATATACAAATAAAATACAAGTTAGCAAATAAAATATGTTTAAAATTATAAGTTTAACTATAAATATAAATATGTTTAGGAAAAATAAAAATTATTATATTTAAAAGTATACATTAAAGTATAAATTTAAATACCTGCTTGAACCTTGCCGAAAACTTCATTTTCCCTTAAATCTTTAATAAATGCATCCAACTTGATCTTAAACAACCTACATAATATATCCGGTCTATCTTCTGGATGAAGTGAAGTGTCCTTAAGAAACCTTTGAACTTCTGGCCATTTTGGATTACATGTAAAAGTTATGAAAAAATCAGGATATCCAAACCATTTACAGAGCGACATGGCATCCAAATAGTTTTGCATCATATAGCGTGCACCACCGGTAAATGAAGAAGGTAAGATCACACGTTGCCCGACGTTAGAAATATCTGTACTCCCAAGTGCTTGTTGATTACGCAAATTCTCATAAGATTCACATCTGAGAATTTTTTGTTGGTTACGTATGAAAAATAGTCTCTCGCTTTCAATCATGGTATAACCATCAACCAAAAATTGTTGGAACAACCTTTTTGCATTAAGAATTAGTGAGAACGATTGATCCATGTCTTGAATTCTGTAAGCGAAAAATTCTCTCATTGTACAGGTCGGGCGCTTGCTATTACTTGAAGATGAAATACCTCTGTGAAGAATGTCAACTCTGTAACCATCATCGCCATATGGAAATAGTAATGGATACTGAAGAGGAAGGTAAGAAGGATGCAATTCACTGATACGTTGTAATAATCCTGATGAAGTTTGAACAACAATATCTCTTTTTTCAATTGAATCACAAACGTCACCGACAACTAAAGCGGCAACCTCAGAAGAACTTGGTAAGTTATACGTCCTTCCATCTTGTTCCCCTTTTCCAATTAATCTTAACTTCAAAATTAGTTGAAGGATTTTCATGAAGAGTGTCTCTTACCATCCTATAAGACTTGACCAACGCATTGTTTGAATCTAACATATCCTTCAGAAATTCTATAATCTGGAGATCATATGATCTTGAAGTTGATGTAGAAGTGGTCGTTCGTCCACTGAAAATATTATAAACAATTATTTAATGTTAGTAAAAAAAATCAATGAATTGAATTGATCTATTAGAGTTAATTGTAAAAATATACCCAATACTTGTTGATCTATTTGAAATCTTGTTCTCCGTATCATATATATATATATATATATATATATATATATATATATATATATAACTGACAGAATTTCGGACTTGAACTAGGTGTAGGTAAAAGACTTCTCATACTATGATAATTTTGACCACCAAGTTTGAATATGTATGGTGAGTTGCCTCTGTTGATGGATGAATCAACTTTGCCTCCCATCGATGTAAATGAAAACATCGAATTGTAACGTCGAATATTCTTCATGAAGTGTTTGCTTTTCGAATCTACTGATCTATACAGATTTTGGTATGATGGCGGTGCCTCTTTTAAGGATGGTAGCTCAACTTTGCCGTAACCGCAACATAGGGAATAAGATGTATTGCCTTTTTTCTGCCCTCTAATCGATTCAGCTTTCCATAATTTTGCATGACAAATCTGACATATAACAATCTGGTCTCCATGATCCAAGTAATCTGTTGAATGCAAAAAATATAAAAAATAATAAAAAACAAAAGTATAAAATAAAATTTAATAATATTAAAACTTTTAGAATTATGATCACCTTTGGATATACCGCAGAAAATATCTTGAATAATAGGATCATCAAAAATTTTCTTCATCTAATGTCAGATCAAACATAGGTATAGCGGATATAGATGAAGTCTTCCTTTTTAATTGATGTTTTCCTCTTGGTAACTTGATTGACGAAGAATTCTGGATTATTGTCGAACGATTGCATGATGTCGTGACATTACCAAACACAGAATTATCTTTGTTAATAGATAGTGGTGTTTGAAGGTTATTATTGAATATATAACTGCCTGAAAAAAAAATGTTAGCAATGGGTATTATTTATATAAAAGTGAAGCATATATTTTTAAATTGGTGTATTTAGAAATACATACCATTTGAAATGTTAGAAAGTGGAGTTCTAACATTTATATTTGTTGAAGGAAAATTCTAAATTATCGTCGAACGATTCGTGGAGACCGTGGCAGTACCAAACACATATTTATCTTTGTTAGTAGATAGTGGTGTTTGAACGTTTTTATTAAAAATATAATTGCCTGAAAAAAATAAAATAAAAATTAGAATGTTATAAATTGTTATGAATTATATAAATGTGAAGCATATATTTTTAAATTTGTGTATATGAAAACATACCATTTGAAATTGTTGAAAAGGGTGTTGTAACGTTTCTATTTGTTGAAGTTGGATTAATAATTGTATCTTGATATATAGATGATTCGACAGAGTTTATATTTTCCTTGTCTAAGGTAACATCTGTATAGTTATCTCTAGATAAACTACGACCACGACTGTAGACATCTGTTATATAATGAAAAAATAAATAGTTAGTAATAATAGAAATAATATTAATTATTAAAAAAATAATAAATTCAAGAGTGTGGCAAATTTTATATACTTTTAATATTAAAAATTAAATTAAAAAAAAAACCAATATAAATACCATTATTCGAATTGTAAGAAACATGTGTAACAGATGAATCTTGATAGAAAGATGTGGCAGGTAATATTTTGGATTTTTTATTATCCAAATATATTTTTCTAATTTTTCTCATCTCTTTGGCGTTTGTTGGTTCTGTAGTATTATTTGAACCTGTAAAATAGTAGAAAACAATTTAAAGTCATATTGTCTGATATAAAAGATAAATATTTTTTATTTTAATTTAATTTTATTTTTTAAATAATAGTCAATTACATATTTAAAATACATAAATAAAACATATAATCAATGCAAAATAAATTAAGAAAATTATCGTATTGGGTACAATGAATAACATGTGTAGTAGGTGTACGATGAGACGATGATGTGGTGAATTGTTTTTTGGATTTTTTGTTATCCAAATATAACTTCCTGTTTTTTCTTCTCTCTATAGCGTCTGTTGCATTCATGTCCTTGTTTGGTATGTAATGAAAAAAATGGAATATAGTTAAAAATAAGATTAATAATTTAAAACTAACTGTTTCAGACGGTAGGTCATGTAATCATGTATAAAGTTGAATACATGAATTGATAAATAATGAAATAGAAATAAAACTGTGTCCTGAACGGGTTAAACAGTATTTATGTGATGATTATATTAACGGATTGGAATTATGTATCGGTTTATCGAATATTAAATCTAGTTAGAAAAGCCCATTCCATATCAATTTGTTAATTTCAATAATAATAATAATAATAATAATAATAATAATAATAATAATAATAATAATTTATAAAAACAACAAATAAAAGGGTTATAATCAGATAGTATTTTGTTTATAGTATAGGGAGTAAATAGAAACTTTGTCTTGGCATCTAACAAAATCGGTGCATCGGAAAAGAGAAAAGGAACATACCAGACCATACGATGGAGACCTTGTGTAGAATCGGAAGAACAGTGGTCGAAAGAGGATGGATTTCGTGCGATTACAGGGTGAAAACGGGAACTTTTAGCTAATAGTGAACCGACGAAAGGCTTCTTTACATGCGATCTCAACAGGTAACAAATTAGGGCTTTTTTATGATGAAGATGCAAATTGGTTGAAATCGGGTGGAATACTTTGTCGTTATTAAATTTTGAGGTCATAATAGATGTTTATGTATGTGAAAAAGTAAATCCCGAATATCTCTCTAAAAATTTTACTTCCCGCTAGTGTAATTTCATTTCGTATTTCAAACATCCCGGTATTGTATTACAATTTTTAAAGGGGATTAGGAGAAGAGTGTGATGTTATTTGGTATACATTTGTATATGCAAATTACGAAAGGTAGAAAGTTTGATAAATCTGAGTAAATTCATGAATGGAATGAATTATGAATTCACTGTTTAACCATAAGTGAACAACCTTTTTTTAATGTTTTTTGTCGGTAGTAGAAGAGAAACAATTAAGGACATGGTTGTGTACACAGGTTCAACAACCTTTTTCAGAATCTTCAAAATACTGAAAACCATTTTTTCTTCCAATTGAAGGATTTGACCAACAATCAACATCTTTACATGTATTTTTTACATGTATTTTTTAATACATGTATTTTTTACATGTATTCTTTACATGTATTAGAAGTTGCCCAGGTTGCTGTTATGAAAAAACATTGGAATAGATTGGCAGTCAACATCATTTTCTTCATTATTGGAGGGTAGTTTGGACTTTTGAAAAATTTTAAGGATTTCATAATTATTGAAGATTATTTTGTATATTTGGAGAGAGCCATATTTGTTTTTATTTGATATAATAAAAAAAGACTAATGCTTTAGAATATCATATTATTTGCAGAATTGGCTGGAACGATATTTAAAATCGCAAAATCTTCTTAACCTACAAAAGCCACATGCTTCTATTGAAGTGTTTGAAAATTATGGAATGCTACATTTGTTAGTAATGAGAATCAGGTAATTCTTATAGCACATGTCCCCTTAGTCTGTAATTACGAAATCTTGTTTCAGGCTTTCTATTTTTATATTGATCAAATTAACTTAAAATATATGAACAAACATTGATTGTTCTATAACTTATAGCACATGGCAATATCTTGTACCAAGAACAAACAATAAAACTGCCATATTTATTTTTTAAATATAATATGATAATTATGCCCTTTTATATTATCTTATACAAATATTGGGTAATACCTAATAAAGCATTATCCTTTTGCATATACTTACGCTTTTTTGTGGTTTGTCTTTTATTGTAAATATCTTCATGGTGTTGTAATTTTAAGTTTATACCATTGTTAGCATTCTACTTAGCATATTTAATGTTTTAAAAATTATATCATTGTAAAAGTACATTGCTTCTCATATTTATATAATCTCATACCAAATAAGTTTTTTGTATGGCAGTTATTTAGGCAAAGGGCAATAATGTCAAATTCCTATAATAAGCAAAAGATAAAACAATTATAATTTCTTTGACATAGAAAAATTACAATTATGCCCTTTTCTATTAATGTTGCCATTTGTTTTCATTGTTTGTTTTTTGTTCGTCCTATGTGTACTTAAAAATGCCTAATAACTATTTAATTGCCTAATAACTATTTAAAAATACATCGATAAAGCCAAGCACAAAGTACTCGTGCAACTTCAAGATTAAACATATTTTTTTCATTTACCAGAAACAACAATGTACTTTTTATAATGTGTAATAACCATAATTGTAGAAGCAACTAACATGCATGCCATGTAAAAGTATACCTACTTGCAATAAGAAAAAACAATAAATATTAACAACTTTTTTTTGAAAAATGATCAAATCAAATTGTAGTCTCTTAACAGTATTATCTATTATAAAACTAATTCATGGCACAGACTAATACAATTTTCATCTCTTAACAGTATTAAACAATAAATGATTTAACAAATTTTACTTAGTGATAACCACACCTAAGTGCTTTGTCACTTTGTAACCATGCAATGATTTTTACATAATAGCAGAAAGATACAGGTGAAACATTAAGAAATTTTTTTTATAAGATAGATATGCGAAAAAAATGTATAATCCATAATTTATTTAAGAAACCACTCAAACAAATAATGATGTTGAACAAATGTTTCAACCTTCTAAACCATGAATGTAAACAAATAAAGTTTTTCAAACTTCCTATTAAAAATTATAACTCAGCAACAGTTTTAAAATGTAACCTTGACAATTTCTTTACTTTGATCCAACACATCTGCATTAGTCTTGAACTGAAATTTGTGTATTAAATCATCATGCTTACAAACTTGATTAAATGGAATGAATTTATTTGTATTCGAAGAGGTGTCAGGGGGATCATCTCCATCAAAACTGTTTTTATAAAAAAAAAACACCGACATTATTAGTCACATAAAGGGCAATTATAGAAAAAAAATGATAAAACATAAATTACCTTTGTTTGAAAACATTGATCTCATCAATGTCGGTGTTAATGAAAAGCTTTGTCATGGGAAAATATGTGTTAACTGTCGGTTGATCTAAACAAAATTGTATATGTGTTATTTAAATTGTTATAAAATAAAATATAATATGAAAATAAATTACCTCTCGAAACTTTAATCAACAATGTTATTTAAATTACTATAAAATAAAATATAATAAGAAAAATAAATACCTCTCCAAACTGTAAGCATCGCAAATTGAAGAATGACAATGATTCGAAGACCGTGTGGATTGTTATCAATAAATTCTTGCATTTCGTAGGCATAATAACCCCACAAAGTGACACGAATTTGTAAACCACTGGAAAAAAATGATTCAAATTAATTGAATTAATTATAATATGTGTGTGTGTGTGTATAAAACCTACTTTGCATCTTGTATTTGGATGTTGAATCTGTGTTTTTTCATATCAGAATTATCTCACAACATGTCACCAAAAGCAACTACCAATCCAATTACATCTATGAAAAATAACAAAGAAGAACGAAACATTATTGTGAATTTAAATATATAATATGTTAGTCAATTTTTTTTGACAATAATTAAAATAAATTAAAATTAACTAACCGATAGCAATGTTTTGAGGATGTATCAATGAGATAATCGTTTGATAATCAACAAACTGAAAACCAAATGTAGGTCCATAAAAGTCATCACACTCCGTAATAACAGTGTTATGGACAAAAGTAAGTTTATGATGAAACCGGGTTAACCTCAAACAACTTATCCTTTGTGACTCAAAGATTGGAAATTTTATGTAAAATGCATGGCCATCCTTTATAATATGTTTGAATTTGTAGATATTTTTTGTTGGGACAATTGCTTGGATCTTGTTTCCCTAAAAGAAGTTTGATATGAATTGGCATTTATAAGAAAATTATATTTTGTATTTACAAAGAAAAAATATTTTTAAATTTTCTAATTACCTGTTCATCTACTAAGATCATTTCAATTGAGTAAATTTCATCCTTCTTGTAGAAAGACATTTGATTCCACAAGTTTATGACACGAAGTTTGAAAGCCAAGTCATCCCTAGTTAAATCCACATCAGCTATAAAGGTGATGTTTTCTGCTGCCATTTCTGTGAAAAAAGAATTAAAATAACTTCATAACAAATTGTTGTAAGATATTGAAACTAACTTTGCATATGAAAAGTAGTCAAAGTGTCATTATTTACTTGCATAAAGAAGTCCAAATTGCAAATTGTTAAAAGAAGTATACTTTTTAAACTATATAACACAAAAGATCTTAAAGTTCACAATTAAAGAAAGGGGCAAAACAGTCATTTGTGAAAGTCAGATTGAGGAAAAAAAACTGCACCGCGAGTAAAAAAGTCTATCATGGGATCTTGATGTTTTGCCAAAATTGCTTAATTACAAAGACAGGGGCAAAATAGTCATTGGTGAAAGTCAGATTGAAGACTTTCATATCATATGTAATCAATAGTAATTAATGTTTGCGAAAATGAAAATTTGAAAATCTATAAAGATGAAAATTGCAGTAAAATTAATTTTTTTTTCAAACTTAATTGAATGATGAAAGCATTATTGCCTACTTGTATAGGACAGTCCCACTTTCTTTCATGAATATTTATTTTCCTACCATTAGTTTGCAGGTTATAAACAAAATAGTCAATAGAAGGAGAAGACTATAGAAATAAACAGAATAACAGAAAGTATGATTATGGTACTTTGCAATGAATATTTATTATTATGGTACTTTGCAATGAATATTTATTTTCCTACCTGATGGATTGAAATGTACGATAGAATATGGTACTTTGCACTTTGCAGAGATGAAGAAGCAGAAAGTTGTCAAAACATATAAAAATATTTAGGGGTTCGGTATTTATAAATGCAATGAATAGGAGAAGATAATATTCTAATTGTGATTTAATTCCTAATTTGATGGCTATATATTTGGTAAAAGATCAATTAATTCAAAACCATTGCTGATTATATGGGATATGAGGAGATATGAAATTGAAAATTCAAAATTTGTTTGAAAATTGGATGAATATGGTAACCAAACAACTGATTTTTAGGAGATGATATCCGTTCCTGGAGTAGGAAATGGGCGGGAAAAGAAGTGAGAATAGATGCAGAAGAACCACACGTGGATTGATGGGGGTTTAAATAGGGGACACATGGCATTTAGGGAAGGAAGTACATGTTGGCATTTGATTGCAGACATTGGACCTGTAAGACTATTAGGAATGTTTTATTTTATTTTATTTTATGTTTTTTTTATAAAAATAAAACCGTGGTTTATATTTTTTTAATGTTATGAATTCAGGTGCTGACAAGGTTTACATGGCTGCAATGACAAATTCAATGCAATGATGTACAAAAGCAATTCTCACACAGCAGATGGTAATATTAGACTATCTTTTACTGTGTATGACGTTAATTGGGAATAATCATCTTTTTTTTTGAATTTGGCCTACAATTGGTGATATGATAGCAATATGCATCGTATTGTTTTTATTGTTTTTATTGCAGGTAATTGTTTTTATTGCAGGTAATTTAATATATGAAATGGTGGATCTTGGGATACGTTGGTGGATTTATGGTGTGAGTTACTGCACGGACATAAGGTTAGATTTATGATCAATTTGTATTAATATTATCATAACAAAGTTAATAGAGAATTAGTGATATGATAGCAATATGCATCTTATTGTTTTTATTGCAGGTAATTTAAGATATGAAATGGTGGATCTTGGGATCCGTTGGTGGATTGATGGTGTGAGTTACTGCACTGGACCTAAGGTTAGATTTATGATAATTTTGTATTAATATTATCATAACAAAGTTAATAAAAAAATAAATGAACAGGATAATAAAAAGTGAACATCAAACAACCATTTAAAAAACAATCATAGGAAACAAATGTCTGAAGCATGAAAAACCATAACGTGAAAAATCCAGTATTCAAATTAAAAGTAGTAATTGTCCATGCAATTGCAAAATGGAACATCTATTAAAATATCCCAGAAAAGAGTAAATCAATCATTTTTCTCTAGCTTTACTTTCAACAATTGTTTTCCTGGACCATCTGGACCTATTTTTGGAGTTTTTGATGTAGATAAGTGATCACTTATCTCTAAATCGAAAACTTCTTCCAAATTTCGCTTTAACACCGGTGTTGTGTTCAAAATCTTCATTGGACTTGTTGTGTCGTTTTTGTCGATAGTGGAAGGAGTTATGTTATCGTCCTTGCCAGAAACTGCATCCTAAAAAAATATATAATCGTATAACATTATTATTGCTAAAATAAATTTATGTTTTAGAGAATATGTAAGAAATTTAAAATGTATTTAACCTTTAAATTTTTTATATCTTGAGATTGCAAATCGACCGAACCAAAATCAAACGACTGTGAATTAGAAGGTTGTATAATACAAAAAATAAACAATTAAACAATGTTCTAAAAAGTAAATGAATGTTTAAATAAAATACAACAAAAAATAAGTAAGTACATACCTGTGACTCGGTGAACTTATTTTCAAGTTGTTCGATTAAAGTCTCATCATCACTTATTCTAGCAATACCATATTGGTTGTTTTTGAAGGACACGTTGAATTTTGAAACAGAAATTTTAAAGGCCAATTTCAAACCTTTCAATGCATTAATTTCCCCCGGATATAAACCAAGATCGTCTCCACGCTGCAATTAAAAACAATAAAAAAAATATTTTGTTTAAAGTGATAGTATATAACGAAGTTATATGATTATCATTAAATTTAAAATAAGACCTCAATCATTTTTTTAACAAACTCCTTAGCTGACTGCTTCAACAGATACCTCCATTCTCTCTCAAACATGGTTAAGGTTAGAGTTCCCGTATTATCTTGCACGCGTATAGGAATCATAAACCTATAAAAAAATTGATAATAATATTAATATTGTGATAAACATGGAATATTAGATAGTTCATTACAATTCAAGTGTAAAGTAGCAACCTTGGAACAACCGAAGTGGTAGTTTTTGTGCAATTTTCATTATGACATTCATAAGTCTTTGTTTGATGAGCATCATTTTCACTTGCTTTACCAGAACAGTTGGTACATGTTTCATAATACCATTTTTGGTTTTGTAAAATTCCCTTTATAGTACCCACGATAACGAAATTACATTTCTACAAAAAAAGGTATGTATTTTAGATTAACATACATAAGACAACTGTAAATGAAATATATTATAATTATATAATACAAACATAACAAAAAACACAAAACATGGTAAAAATATTTAAATAAACATATTAAATTGTAACAAACAATAACACATGAAATACCTCGACTCGTTCCCAAACCTCAGCGATACCCTTCAGGTTATTTTTTACCATAAAATCATCATATGCAGAAATTTGATTGGATGAGATAATCAAAAATGTATTTGTAGATGAATCGGGACGATCATCTCCATCCAAACTGTTATGTATGCAAAAAAAAGTAGTTACGCAAAGGATGTTATTGTACAATAAACAGAATAAAACATAAGTTACCTTTTGTTGAAATTGGTAATTTCATCTATGTCAGAGTTAATGAACAACTTGGAAGAGGTAAAGTAGGTGTTTACACTTGGACGATCTATAACAAAAATGTATATAATATTATTTTATTGAGGGCAACATAAATATTAATAACATAATTTGAATACCTCTCCAAACATTAATCTGACCAAACTGAAGAATAACAACGATGCGACGATTGTCTGGATTGTTATTTATATAATCAAGCATCTTGTACGCATATTCACCCCACAAATTGACATGAAGTTGCAAACCGCTGAAAAGAAATATATTTATAAAAAAAATGATATATTTAGATAACATAATTTAAAATTTATAAATTATAAGATGTAAACATATAAGAAAATCAACTTTGCATCTTGGATGCGGATGTTCAGCTTGTGTTTTGATTTCTCTGGATGACCTTGTTGTATCTCAGCAATTGCAACAACCAAACCCATAACATCTATTAAACAAAAAATAGGCAAATTTATGTTATTTTTCTGTTAGGAAAATAGAATATTATATTTAAACATATAATGATATGTACTTACCAACAGATGTATCTTGAGGATGGGTCAATGATAACACGGCTTGATAATCAACAAACGAAAAGCCAAACAGAGATCCAGAAAAATTGTTACACTCTGTAACAACAGTTTGTTGGACGAATGTGAATTTCTGATCATGACGAGTTAACTTAAAACTACCCGTCTTCAATGCTGCAAAGTTTGGACCTTTGATGTAAAATGTCATCCCATCCTTTACTACATTTTTGAAGCGATATATGTTTCGTTTGGATACCATTGCTTGGATTTTGTTCCCCAAACAATATTTAATACAATAAGAAAAAGTTAAAAAGTAATTAAATTTAAGGAAATATGTGTAAGAAAAATATAAAAATAGTTTTTGTAACATACATGTTCATCCAGTAAGATCATTTCAATTGACCAAATTTCATTTTTGTTTTAGAAAGACATTTGATGCCAAAGGTTTATGACACGAAGCTTGAAAGTCAAGTCATCCCTAGTTACATCCATATCAGATATGAAGGTAATATTTGGTGCTGCCATTTATCTGCAATAAAAAGGAGAAAAATATAAATTAATTAAATAAAAGACAAGATAAGCACATATGTATTCTATGACAGGTAATTCTTCTGCTCTCATAAGAAAGAATTAGAATAATAAAACTAAATTTTGTGTGTGACTTCATACTTCAGTGTCAATAAGAAATTTAGACTACTACAAATTGTTGTAAGACATTGAAACTGACTTTGCATATGAAAAGTAGGCAGAAGTGTTATTATTTACTTGCATAAAGAAGTCCAAATTGCAAATTGTTAAAAGAAGTATACTTTTAAACTATATAAGACAAAAGAAAGCATTATTGCCAAAATTCTGTAACACTATTTTTTTTGTTTATTTTCATACTTCCTTCTCATGGGATCTTGATGTTTTGCGAAAATTGCTAAATTACAAATAAAGGGGCAAAAAAGTCATTGGCGAAAGTAAGATTGAAGAGTTTCATATCATATGTAATCAATATCAATAGTAACTAATGTTTGCGGAAATGAAATTCTGAAAATCTATAAATATGAAAATTGCAGTCAAATTAATTTTGTTTTCAAACTTAATTGAATGAAGAAAGCATTACTGCCTACTTGTATAGGACAGCCCCACTTTCTTTGATAATATTTATTTTCCTACAATTAGTTTGCAGGTTATAAACAAAATAGTGAACAGAGAAAAAATATATCAAAATATATTCACTGCCTCAACAGATACCTCCATTTTATCTCAATTATTAAGAATGGAGATGGAGATTTGGATAAGCACATATGTATTCTATGACAGGTATTTTTTCTGCTATCATAAGTCTTTAATTTATTCAAATATGGTTCTGAATTATAATTATTTAAATATCATGGGGTAGCAAAACAGTCATTTGTGAAAGTCAGATTGAGGAAAAAAAACTGCACCGCGAGTAAAAAATTATACACAATTAATTTATGTTCGACTTTAATGTATAGTGCAATATAAGATCTTAAAGTTCATTGCAAAGTAGTTTTAAATTTAAATTTCTGTGTGATTGGTAAAACAATCATATGTTTTTTATTAAAAAAGAAAAAAAAATAAGTATAAGCATGAATATGATGCGGATGAAACACACAGAGAGCAACACATATAGATCGACAGACTTGTTTCTAGGTTGCTATATGAAATTTGTAACAGAAGGAGAAGAAGATAGAAATAAACAGAATAAAAGAAAGTATGATTATTTTGTTTTACACTGACCTGATGGATTGAAATGTACGATAGAAGATGGTACTTTGCACTTTGCAGAGATGAAGAAGCAGAAAGTCGTCAAAACATATAAAAATATTTAGGGGTTCGGTATTTATAAATACAATGAATAGAAGAAGAGAATATTCTAATCGTGATTTAATTCCTAATTTGATGGCTATATATTTGGTAAAAGATCAATTAATTCAAAACCATTGCTGATTATATGGGATATGAGAAGATATGAAATTGAAAATTCAAAATTTGTTTGAATGCAGGGACAATAACGTAACCAAAGAGCTGATTTTTAGGATATGATTTACATTCCTGAAGTAGGAAATGGGCGGGAAAAGAAGTGAGAATAGAGGCAGAAGAATGACACGTGGATTGCTGGGGGTTTAAGGAGGGGACAAGTGGCATTTAGGGGAGACAATTATTAGGAATTGAGATATATATATATATATATATATATATATATATATATATATATATATATATATATATTGTAACACCCAAATGTTTCAAATAGATTTTTCATTTCAAAATCGCATACTTTTCATAACATATTGTATAGAAATCTCGTTTATTCAAAATACAAGCACAACTCCATTAATAATCCAGGATCCTCAAAATACAACTCTTTCTCTGGTGTGTACAATCAAGCCGGTGCCGTCCCGCGAACCTGAGAAAACCTGAAACACATAACACATAACATTGTAAGCACAAAGTTTAGTGAGTTACCCAAAATACCACATATAACACATATTAGCCACTCGAGGCTATAACTCTGTGGGCCTACTGGCCCTAACTCTGTGGACCCTCTGGTCCTAACTCTGTGGACCTTCCGGTCCTAACTCTGTAAACTCTGGAATACACACAGCATAAATCACATAGAAATAATGCAGTGCAACACATCACATACATAGCATACAAGATACTCTGTCACATAACTCTAATTACCACTTAAGGTAAAGTATAGTGAGAAGACTCACTTCGCATGATGTCGGATACCCTCCCGTGCTCGATAATCCGACCTAGCCTCATCCTATCAAAATGATAACATCTCTGATCAAAATCCTCTTATGTTCTCATCCCTAATAATGGGTAGAAGACCATTCTACCCCTCTCTGACCTCTCTTGAATCAGCTTGACCAAACCCCAAGGTAAACTGAAGTCGACTCTAGTCAACGGTCAAACTTTGACCAGACTCGTCGAGTGCACTCGAGTGACTCGGCGAGTCCATGCGTGTCCTCTGAATCCTCAAAAGCCTCACTCGACTCGTCGAGTTAACCTTTCACTCGATGGGTTACCACTGGTCACGAATCGCGGGGCAACCCGACTCGACTCGTCGAGTCCCCATATGGACTCGGCGAGTTCCCTCCATGACAACACTCAAAAGACCTTCTGAGGTCAGATCTGTTTCTCTAACTGATAGATCTGACCTTCTTACACCCAATAATCACGTAAAGGTCCAATCTTTAAGCTCATGCAACCTTCTTATGCCCTTATATGAAGAAATAGCTCCTAAAATGGCAACCTAGATCCATAACCCCAAAGGGACTGCATGAAGCTGGAAGATTGGGACTCTCTGGACCTCTTAAGGTCCAGATCTAAAGCTTATTCCACATTGGGACCTCATATGCATCATATACAATCCAAGAAAGGTTAAAGAAAACCCTAGATTCAATGATTTTACACAAAACAGAAAGAAGGGGCGAAATACTACCTCAAAATGGAGATCCTTGCTTAGATGTCTCAGAATAACAACCTCCTTTGGTCCTTCAAGCTGAATCCCTTCACTTCGTTTGAAAAACCACACCAAAATTACTTGATTTCATCACAAGAACTCTTCCTTGGCTCCAATAGCGATTTAGGGTTTCTCACAGGAGATATGAGGCGCACCTAAGGTCATAAGTTCCTTTAAATAGGTCCCAAACTCCGGAAATTAGGGTTTCTCTAATCAGCGCCTACTCGACGAGTCCATCCTTGGACTCGTCGAGTCCGCTCATTAAAACCACGTGGAAATCTCGACTCGACTCGGCGAGTTGGTTCCTCTACTCGTCGAGTCCCTCCTCAAAAATCTCAAGATTAACATACACCATCATGTCTCTGGAAATCCGGATGTTACAATTCTCCCCCACTTGAAATTAGATTTCGCCCTTGAAATCGCTTCTCAACAACATATAGATCTAATCCAAATAATCGAACAACACCATCGAAAGGATCTCATACCACACAACTATCTTTCTCTCTGGCACTTGAATCCAACAGGAACTCCTCCCTGGAAAAGGACAGACTCACTGCCACTACGCTACCCCTCCTGACTCTCAAGAGTCTGGAAACTCTAGTATCTCGATAACAGCCAGGCCGCTCTCTCCAGGTGTCACCTCGTTATTCGCTCCTCGAATAATAAACCCCGATAGCTCAATGCACCTCAGATTCTCTGGTGGGGACCGATAAAACAAGTCTATGCCCAAAACTGGCTACCGATCACTCGACCCAGACATGATAAACAATTCCAGATCATATGCCAAGGAGTGGAAAGATCTGTTGGATTAATGTCTAAGTCCATAACTATATTTGGTATGTACTTGACCCGACCCGGCATGGTCCATTTGGATTGCATTTCACCGGCACAATTTATATGGATAGTCTTTTGAGAATAGTATATTTATGATTTATATTAATATATTATAAGTTCTAATATATTAATATGGAATCATATTATTTAATTAGTATTGATCAAGAATTAATTTAGAATTAATTAAGTGATCAAAAAGAACTAATTAAATATGGACTCTTATATATATGGAATGGGCCAAGTTCATTTAGGTTGGGCTAAGCTTTCATGGATGGTCCATGGAGCTTTTAACCCATGGATCCTATGTAAATGAAAGGTCATGGGTATTAGGGTTTACATGGATGTAACCCTAATCCTCCATAATATATAAAGGGGTCCTTGGCTCACAAAATTGGCACAAGTGTGTGAAAATAAGAGTGGGCCGATTTTAGTGTGCTCAAGTTCTTCCAAGGTGTTTTGGTGATTTGTGATTCCATTTGAGGCTTCCACACTATTTGGGGCTAAGCTCTTAAAGCTTGAAGACATCAAGCTACATCAAAAGGTATGTCATCTAACTAGAACTTTGTAGTATAGGTGCTTCATAATATGCTAGTTAGGATGAAACCTTGGAATAGTTAATATTTGCATGTATAATAGAGAAAACATAGATCCAAGGTTTATAGGGTTGCATGTACACCATAGGAGTGTTAGAATGCTCAAAACCCAACAGTGGTATCAGAGCCATGGGTTGTTTTCTGTTATATTGATGCAAATGTTTTATTTTCAAGTTGAAAAAAAAAAAGAAAAAAAAAACATGACGTTTGTCAAATTTTAAGATAATTACTTGTTTTGTGAAAAACGAATTATTTGTAAAATTTGAAACATTTGTTATATGAGTTGAATTAGGTCAAATTTAGTAAAAGATAAAATGATATGATTATTTTATTATTTTAAAAGTTTGA